TCAATGGATAGAAAAAGGAGAACTGATTCTATTGAGTATATCATTGTAATGGAAATGTGACCATGTAAAATTTTAAAAATTGTTTTTTTCCATTCTGTAATGAATATAATTGTTCCTGAAACCCTGACACTTCACCAGTTCCACTATATTTTGTATCCCAAACGAGTTCGGTTCGCGAAAGGAAAATTTTGACCCGCTTGGTCGTTTTATTACCTGGAGTGGCGTGCGTTTGGGAATTTAATCAAAAATACTTGTTAAAACTAACTATGTTCATTTATTTATATACGAACAATATCCTTGTAATAGAATTATTCCAAGTATTCACATAATAGTGTACAGGTATCTTTACTTAAAAAGATTTTAGATATAACAGAAGAGATGGTGTGATATATCTGATAAATCCGATGAATCTTCGTCCAATATTATGGTTATCGACTCAACAATTTCATCAACTGAATTATATATAGTTTCCACGTCCAGTTCTTCCACATTAGGTTGTTTCAAAAGTTTTGTCCGTTTTAATATTAAGGGTTTCTGTAGCTCCATATCTCAATTGACATACTGTACATAATTGACTTTACATGGAGATCTCGTAAACGATAAGAGATAGAGTGCCGGTTAAATTATATCAAAATTGCGTATTTTAGATACCTATTCAATGATGTAAAAAAATCGAATATAGCTCTTTTGTTTCTGGAGATGTACAGGAAAAACCAAAAAATCCCAAATAATTTTTTTGCCTATATCTTCTTTATTCGCAGATATATTTGAAATCTGTCCACATTTTGCTGTTGGCACTTGATGTGGGCTCTCAGAATATATCTATGAATCTTTTATACAGGGTGTCATCTGACTTGGGCCNGGTATATTTGATTTCTTCCAAATTTTTATATTTTGCCTCTTTTCAGTTCATTACTATATATGGCATTAGGAGATTTTCGGCAATTTTTTCTTCTAAGAATTCATATTGAATCAAATCCCTGACAAAACATCCTGGAAAATAAACCAGATACTTGACAATGATAGTGTTAATGAACGCACTAATCGACGTTGGTTTGTGAAATTCCGTTCCAGAGACTATACTAGCTCCGATGATGAGCCTCGAATTGGTTAACCTATAGTAATACAGGACAAGGATTTGAGGACCCCGGTGGACACTGAGTCATCAGGGTCAGACCCGAAGTTCTTTTGGAGAGATCAAAAAGTGGGTGTCACACGATTTGAACGGTCGCCAAAAATTATCACGTTTCAAAATCTGTTCTCCTTTGCTTATGCGCAACAAAAAATATATTTTTTTTGTTGAACTTCTTTACGCACGTTTGACTTGGTGAGTAAGCTGGTAAATGTCTGACGAGAGCGTTAGTGCTAGTGAAGATAGGAAGAGAAATAGAGTTACATTTCGTATGTTACTGTAAGGGCAAGAGAGAGAGAGAGAGTGAGACGTGCAAGCACACATTTACGGTCGAGTAGGCTCTGAAGAATTAGGAGAAAACTATCATACATTGACACTAATTTCAATGTTAATTTCGCGTCCGAATATAGACAACTCTTGGTAAACTTTGTACAAGATAAATCACAACTACAAATAAATAATAACCGAAATGAGCCTACCAAAAGAGATACAACCCCATAAGACCGGTGGTTTCGTATATAAATAGTCCGGTAAGAGAACTAGGAATACGTCTTAACAAGTTGTACAAAAATATTACCAATTTCGTCCCACTTCACAGCATTAAAAATTCACTGACTTCAGTAGAAACCATAAGGAACCAAACCACGCCACATAATTCAATTTTAGTTTCATCCGATGCAAAGAGTATGTTCTCCAACATACCGTACCACGAGTGTAAGCCCCTCATTTTAGACTTATTAGATCAAGCCAAAATAGACCATATCACTTCTATTGAGGTTTCAACAGCTTTCGATGTGTGCCTGAATCAGAGATACTTACAATTCAACAACAAATTCTATAAACATGATTCAGGTTTACCAATGGACCCCTTAGTTCACTTTTAGCAGACATATTTATGAACAACTTGGAAACCAAGATAGTAAACTCCGACCTGGGTAAAAAACATATTCATATTTAATACAGATATGTAGACGATATTCTTGCCTGTTTCAGAGGTACTACACGACAGCTGAACTAATTTATGACATTCATGAACAATCTCAATAGCAACATTCAGTTCACACTCGAAACAGAGATAGAGAAACAAATAAATTTCTTAGACCTGGCCATTACACAATCAGAATAAATTCGAGTTCAATGTTTTCAGAAAACCTAGCTATACAGTCATCACCATCCCAAGCGATTCTTTCCATCCAGACAGTCATAAATTGGCAGCCTACAATTCAATGCTGCACAGAGCATTCTCACTGCCTTTGTCTGCAGACAATCTAGCTAGGGAAATTGATACAATTACACAGATAGGTCATAATAACGATTTCAACGCAGATACTATCCAGTCAGGAAACAAAGCCGGAAATTCACTTGCAGATTAATATATCCTCAGGTCAAACAACCAGAAATCAAGAAATGGGTCACGCTAACATATTTTGGAAAAAGAACAGAAATTATCGCAGGTTTGTTCAGAAAAAACAATGTGGACGTAACATTCACACCACATGCCAGGTTATATCATTTTGTTTTCAATGCCAAAGATAAGGTCGACAAGTTGGAAAAATCTGGAGTTCATAATTTTAAGTGCCCGGAGTGTAATAGTGTTTATGTGGGACAATTCGGACGAAATTCCCAAAAACGGTATGCTGAACATGAAAGGTCCTTCAGACTGGTAAAATAACTATTCGACGTTTTCAAACCATTCCTTACCACAAGTTTCCGAATCTATTCGATACGTATTTAGAATCCTTGGGAATTCACAAGCATAAACATTGCGAATACCATCTTTTCGAACACTTCGATAACTTTCTTACCAGTAGAACTTTCGCCAATCAGGACTAGATGAAAATGGCCTTCGTCGACTCCATCGAATCATTGGCACTCAATTTGTGAGTTGATGGAATTATTCGACATGTATTTCGTTTGCAAAAGTGTACTGATTCTCATGACGACTATTTCGATCGAATTAAATAAGTATTTACTGAGGTATTACAATAATTTGGCCATGACTTTTAAATTTTTCAGGAAATGAAAAAACAGATATATGTTATTCCAATGGGAAATTGATGCTTTTCAACTTCAATATACTTCAGAAGAATTTCATACATTACTAGTTGAGAACTTAGCCTGTAGGATTATCATTCTGTAGATATTCTGGCGCAGATAATTTTCAATCGTTTATTTGAATAGTGATAATTGATAATATTCATGAATATCGAAGGGTGACAGAAATAAAATAAACAATTCAATTTGAAATGAAATGATTCATTCACTAGCGTTTGTAATTCGTATCATCCTTAGAATTTCTTCCCCCTAGGATCCAGGTTTATATGAAAATCTAACAAACAATCTGCATATTTCTACAGGACTAAAGGACCCTTTTGCGTACTCAGGCAAAAAAAACATTGTTGCCCTCAGATCACCACCGGAAAAAAAATAATTTTCATATTTTATTTATTCATTGTGTGGTTTGTTTCTTGTAGATACCCATGTATAGATGATTTTTCATCTGATAATATATGTTCCCGGTATCTTATGTTGATATTTCTGCTTGTTTGGCCTGTATAATCTGTACGTTCTAATCTATAAATGCCCGGTTTTTTCACTTATCCCATCCCTTTTGGGTTTCACGTTGAATAACATGTTCCTTAAATTATTCTCACTAGTGATTGGTGTAATTATGTTGACTTATTAAAAATAGTTTATTATATTTTCGGAGGTCATCAATCGAACAAGTTACCTCTATTCACTAAGATATATTAGAATGGTAAATCACAGTTATTATCAATCCTATTTGTGACTCAATATTTAGGAATCTGTTGTAGAGACAACGAAATCATTATATCCGACTCCATTCAGTTATTTCTAGAAAATTTAAAATTCACAATTCACATCGACGAGAGTCGATGATACAAATCAAAAAACCTTCGAAAATCTATTTCTGTTCAACAAAAAATGAACTCAAGTCGAAAATTTTGAACATGGCCCTATATATTTTTCAAATGATTAGAAATAATGTAGAATGTTACCGATTTTTTTCAAAATAGTATATGTCCCATTTTCCCCTAATTAAATATGGTGGCAATATGAAGTCATCTATCTAAATTATGTCAGAGTTTGATGAAGTAAGAAATGAAAGACGAAGTTTGCTCATTTTCGAAATGGAAATTCAAGAAATGAAATTTTCCACAGGTTCCCTTTTTATAAATTTTTGGAAATATCATGTTTTACTCTATGTGTTGTTGAAGGCTTTGAAACGTTCACTTTTTGACTGGTCACAGAATAATGAACTCATGATATGTTTGACATTTTTTTGTGGTACAAGAAGTACTTGAAAGTTTAAATTTGAAAAATCCCACTCTCTATTGGGGAATGCGAGAGAATTGAAACTTTTCATGTTTTTCACCACTTTTATTTGTAACTAACGTTACTGCAGTCCTATAAGGACATTTTCGAACTTATACATTAAACACGAGTAACGTTTGTTACAAAAAAGTGATAAAAACATATAGAAAGTTGTTTCAATTCTCTTTTTTTTGTATAGGGCTCTATTTGAAAGTTTTGATTTGGGTTCCTTTTTGGGTTACATAATTTTTTTTTTTTCATTAGAAATGTGGGCATCATTGAACTATACATTCATTTCGGAATTCAAATTTCTAAACCCAAAAACAATTGAATGGCTCTGTGTACAATAACTTCGTTACCCGGTATGAGGTAGACAGATGGTTCCTGACAGAGAAAAGACGAGAAATTCCGGTTTATTTATTTTCGAAGTTAATCTGGTATAAAATCCAACCACTGAAACATTGTGTACTCCCCTGAGGTCACCCCTGTATCCCTCAAACGGTTATCAAGTTATATTGATAGAATTACTCACCAGGGTACCGTCAGAGTATGCAAGTCCAACTTTCACATTGGGTGACGTTGGTCTGCAAGGTATGACGGCTGTAGTGTACTGTTGAATGTATACTTGTTGAACAACTTCCGGACTAGTAACAGAGAGATGAAGATCATCTGCAAAACATCAAGAAAAAAGTCATTAAATCAAAAATCATCATCTCAGAGTATGGTTCAATCATTTTCTATGTCTTACTCGCATTCATATGCTCTCAAAAATAAGTTGTCGGCACTGTATGAACAGTAATTGGAATGTTGTTTTTTTAAACGGACGTTTTATTAAATAATCAGATACTAATTCTACTATATATGAAATTTATGTTGTTCAAATCTTATTGATGAGATAAACATTCATCAGAGCTTTCACTAAAGATGCAGTCAGTTCTCTTGACTCAATTATCCATTGAAAATAAACCACCGAAATAATCTTATCACAAATTTAAAAATGTATGGACTGAATTTCCGGAATGAGAGTGGAGGGCAGCATTACCGCCAGCAAGAAAAATATCAGTGGTTACAATTCTTAAGCCTCCAACTCACGATTACTTTTCTCTGTGGGGCATATTTCGGGAAAAATTCGACGCAACAGCTAACGCCAACGGCTGGACGAAGAAGAAAAAACTCACTACATGATTTGACACTCTGCGAAGTTGAAAACTGGTAGTATTATATAACATTCCAGAAAGTAACTAAAATTATAGGCACTAATGCTCAAAGCAAATGTACCCGAACCAATCAACAGAATAGACGATATCTATAATCGCAGAAGACTCTGGTAGTAAGAATTGAAAGTTACTGAGAAAATTGGGAGACATCTACTTGATATTCGAGAATATACACAATTTACTCTACGCATCAAATTTCTGGTAGATCACAATAGTATTTGCTTTCTACTATAGTCATATCAGAAGAAGCAAACGAGTTACTCTTGATGGGGTAATTCGTGAAAGAAAGAAGTATTACGCCATTGATCCCTTCTCATAGCCTTTGAACGCAGTGGTCAGACTTCTGATATCAGTTTTCGGTATAACACTGTTTCATTCTCTAATGAATATGGATAATTCTACCAACATACGAGAATGTTTGAATGTGGTATTTATATTCGGAAACAGCGAGTTGTAAATACAGATGACATCTGTTGAGAATGCGGAAGAATGGTTTCAAGCGACAGTGAGTCGGATTTAATTGTTTTGTTGAAGCTTGAGAGTCGTTTACCCTGTTCAATTCTCTCAAGTATCTAGAGAATGTTTCACCCAATTTTTTTCATGACCGCCATTTCACAAATCTTTTCTTGCATAACTTTGTGCAGGTCGATTATTGTATGTTTGTCATATTCTTTCAGAAATTATTTGTGTCGCTCACAAATTTCCTACCTACCGTTATCTAGAGAATCATATCCATATAAAACATATCGATCTGTATCTATACTTTCAACGTGGAGTTAGTATCGATCTTGTGCACCTTCTTCGTTGTCATATGTTCCGTGAACATGTCAAATCCGTTTCTCCATATATTTAAAAAAATCAAATCATCCAATCCTGGACAATTCAGTAAATTCATCAATATTCAAAAGGGTCTCCCATGCTATTGTGGTGTTTTCGTCACACATTTTAATTCCGAACAAGCAAGTTTTGGCAACTTATTCCGGACCATAGATGAAAAAACATCTGTTCAGTCATTATCACTCGGACATGCCTTTGCACCTGAGAATTTTATAGTACCTAATCTGGGTCCTTCTGGTTAATATTACTATCTGCCGCCGGACCTACCGCTTATGTACCATTACCATATCATTAAATTGTCCTAAGCTTGAAAGTTATCTGCATTGCCTATTACTCTATATCTCCCATGACCTAAGAGACGTAGTAAGGATTTCATAACATCACCAACACTGTTTCCCCATAATGGTCCTGTATACCAACTTTCCTCTGAGTATGCAATCTTTAGATTTGCAGCTCATGTCGTTAGTGCTTCTCATCCTCAACCATTGAATGATTGATTCTGAAAATATATCATCAAATTCGCTCTCAATATCAAAGAAAGCAGCTGAAAGTACTGTCTTGTTTTATAACCATACACTTCTTTTCGCGACCTGAACATAAAGCTGTTTCGGTTGACATACCTGACCTGTACCTGTATTGTTCTCATTGTTGTGGTAGTGTTGTGTCCCTAATATGCCATTTGATAAAGTTATATAGTATTTTCATAACAAATAAAATGAATGCTTCGTCTACAAGTCTTCACCAAATCCTATCTGGTTTACCCAGGTTTCGGTATGAACGTGGTTTTAATGTCTCCATATTTTGGATATTTACTCCAGTACCAAATTTTCGAGGATTATATACAGTATTTGAGGTAGTCCGTTGTGCAGCATTGCTAGATGAATAACGTTTAGTCCTGGCGACCAATGTGATTGAATCGATTTCACATGCCATTTCCTTTTCTGTAAATATATCCCTTCCTTTGCCATCTACCAATACATTGTAACAATACTTTCACTGGCGGCTATATGCAGTATTTTGTGCCTGGCTATCCATTTACAACTGCGGTTTATTTTATTGAATTGAAGTCTTCTAGCTGTTGATTCTACACTGGATCTATTAAATTGAGTGTTGGCACCCAGTTCCCTGAACATAAAAGAATTTGTATCTCGGGGCATACCGATACGTTGAAAATAGCTGAATAAGCACGTTATTGCAGTGGAAGAGTTCCAACGGTTAAGACTATATTCGGCGATGTAAATTCAGAAAACAAAAGAAAATTCAATTCGAAAGAATAAGGAAATCATCCACAGATGTAATGTTGCCACTTGCATTGAACTATACACGTATCAAACCAATTGATACAATAAATAGGAACGAAGCCACGTTTACCACTAATGAAATGAAATTGGAGAGCCATCAAAGTTGTGATATAGCAAATTTATCTTCGACCGACAAAACTTACACTTTCATGAAAACATCTGTTTTCAATGGTACGGCCACAAAGTCATCAGAAGGTATGATTTTATCATCATAGGAGTGAATTATTTGAATCAATTTTTTTCAGTAAGGTCAATTATTTAATGGCGTGGGCATTTAGATATCATAGGCAACGATGTTCTAGAAACGATGATAATCTTCATTTACGAGCCCTGAACTAGCTATGGAGGTACCAAAGTTTGTAGTAAGGAGGAGACCTGGGAACCTGGGGATACCCATGGAAAACTTTTGAAAAGGAGCACTCAAAACACAGAACTGCATCAATGGAGCAGGATCGAGAGCGGGGATTGGCCCCGAATAATTACACCACTAGCCACTGGGCACATTGCATTGAGGATAAACTTAACAGAAAAACTGTTTGAATAGATACTTCAGCGGTAGGAATTGCAAAAAAACAATTCTGCACGTTTCATGTCAATGTGAAGCACTGGATCAGAAAAGTCAAGCATTTCATAGAAAACCCAAATCACATTCAGAATAGATTGATTATTCAATGTAAGAACTGTACAAAATAGAAGGGGAACAGTGTTTCTGAAAAAATGGGAAGTTTTTATCGGTAGATTAAACTACGAGATTATAAGATAAACATAATAACAGCAATATATGGACTGTTGCCCCATGGCGTATTCTGTATCTGGTATTGAAAATTTCCATATCCATCTTGGTGTTACAGTTAACTCATCCATATAGAGACCTAAATTGTAAACCATAAGTGTGTGTACGGCTATTCGGCAAACTATGTTGAGAATAACAATTTCAACCATAATCATTAAAAATATGATAACTCACCTTCTACATAAAGATAAATCTTCGCTTTCTTATTTTGATTCTCTTTATAGTGACAGTAATAAAATCCTACAAATTTGTACGTCATATTTGTGATATATAGTCGAAGACCAAACTTGTGAAGTGCATCTGTCGGGGTTTCTTCTTTCGTTTCGAATGTAGTCCATGATTTGTGAGAACCGTGCTAAAAAAAAAAGTATAATTAACTAAAAATGTTCAAATATTTTGTTGGAAATTGAAAAGTTTCTGATACGAACTAACTGGATAAAAATATTTTGAAATATTGAAAAATCTGCAAAATATGAAGGTATTGAAAATTGATAATCTAGTTATTGACGTCGTTGAGTATTGAGTTGATACAGAAAAATGTATAAGGAATAACTTCATTTTCGAAACAATTTGGTTTTCAATCGAGGCAGTTTAATTAGAAATAGTAATGCCCTGATACGGAAGACGACACAAACTTAGAGCTCTGTGATAGAATTTCATCCAGATTGGAAGAAAATCTTATGTGGCTTATTTCATTCAATGAGTGTCCATATGACATGTCAGGTGAATTCTCATATGAGGAAGGATTTTTCTAAAAGTTTGAGGCAGTGCAAATGAACATCCAAACTTCAAAACATACGAAACAGGCACCGGGTCTCGGATGGTGAAGGTAATTGAAAGTGTGGGACAAAATTATATAGGTGGTTTAACCTCCACACGATCCATAATAGAGATATTGACAAGCACGCAAATTAAGGAATTGGGAACAATGAAGATATTCGCAGCCAGGTGGGCTTATGTCGTGAAAATTATCTTTGTCTTCAAATGGATTAATGACTTCGAGACAACTTGAAGTGAAGAACCTTCGAAAATTTTCATGATGAATAAAAATACCATTTAGGAATATGAGAAAGCCACTCGTCGAGAAGAAATTTTACACGATCTCAATGGAGGAGTGGTGTTGAGTGGTAATTTAACAAACGAACAAACTCTGGTTTGAAATTATTTGATTTGAAATTATTCTGTGTAAGTCTCAGTAGACTCACTAAGACGTTCGAAATTTTCAATTAAAAATTAGCCCATTCCGTTAACCAACTAATTCTATTTGTGCTAGTGATGAACTATCATTGGACTCGAAAAAACGCTCCAATGTAAAAACAAGTTTCTCTACGAGTCCGGACCTGATCGGTGATACAGTGAAACGTATCAATAAACAGATCCTGAATTTTACTGGATACTTTGATTTATATCGAAAGTAAATAGAAAACAAATCTACCCAGCACAGAGAGTATTAACAAAAACATTGTGGTATTTTATCATACGGATAAGGTACGAAGATAGGGCCGTCTCCGAAACTTTTCTAATGATATTGAAACGAATAACAACGTCATGATGAATCAACAAATGGAGATATCTGACTACAGAATCCTTCCAGAAATTCTATCCACCAACGAAACCACTGAAATACCTACTTCACAAAATAAAACATATTCTGCAGCACTTACACAAAATCAATTTCATACCAGAGAACAAGCAATCATCTTCACTTCTATTGACGGAATCAAATTCCAAGAATACATCTTTGGGCTAGGAGCGATTGTACATCCAAGAAATATTATCTTTTCTTCGAGAATTTCCAATAACAGAATATTATATAGCTATCCAACAAAGATATTGTCGAAAACTTTATGACTCAACATGGTTCCATCACAATAAACAATCAACGCATCCAAGCTCGACGTCTAATAACCCCAGCAACACGTTTGGTTCTATTAAACATTTGCCCTTCGATTCGACATCACATTATAGAAACTGAACTGAAGAAATTAGGACTAAGCCTACTATCAGCAACTTCATTCTTGAGAATTGGTTGTATCTGATCCCAAATACAGCCACATCATGAGTTTTCGTCATCAGGTATACATTAGTCCTACCAATGTCACATTTCCAGAATCCCTTCCCATGTTCTATGAAAACATATCATACCGCATATTCGTGTCACAAGACAATATGACATGCTTTAATTGCAAGCAATCTGGCCACTTACCATCTCAATGTACAAGCACAATCACCCAGTCTCGATATTGAAGGAGCATTTGACAATGCAATCTAAATCTATAGAATCATCTCTGGCTAGGAAAGGTATAGAATCGACCATAACTGGTTGGATCTATGCCATGCTGGTAAACATAACTGCAACTATGACTCTTCAAGGCGAGGTCATCGGATTCAGGGTCACCAGAGGCTGCCCTCAAGGTAGGGTACTATCTACCCTTAAGTGGTCGCTCCTGAAGGATAATCTGCTTGATGCCCTCGACAGAAGAAAAGTGTATCTGCAAGCTTATACAGATTACCTTGTGATCTTGGCAAGGTCCACAACGGAAAGGATAGCTTGTAATAGCCTCCAAAGTACGATGGACGTTGTTCACAGTTAGTACCTGAGGAAGCAGATGTCCGTCAACCCCAGCAACACTGTGATAATCCCCTTCACCAGGAGAAAAAAATTAGACGATCTAACGCCACTATCCCTCAATGGTGGGGTCATTCCATTTGGAACGGAGGTGAAATATCTTGGCATTGTCCTTAATAAAAAACTCACATGGAACGCTCACTTGTAAAAAGTTTTACACAAAGCCAGACTGTCCATATAGACATGTCGAAGGATTTGTGGTAAAACTTGGGGTTTAGATCCCAAACAAATCCTCACCAATTACATAAATCAATTTAATGCCAAGTGCAATAGACTCCTGTTTGACACTGGAAATGACCTCTGACCTTATGCCTCCAACTGTTAACTACGAACTGCCTTATAAAATACTATTCCCGAGTAGAGATGACTGGATCCTCCGGGAGAAGGAAATATTAAGAGCAGATAGTTGCTGGTTCCGGTGCATGTGTTTTTAGTAGCCGACCCAGGGCAGAGATAAAAACCTGCCTAGGAACCTATGCGACTGTATTTCAAGCGAAAATTCACGCCATTGAATTGTATGTGGAGAGTTTGGAAAAATCCAACCTCATACACAAGTCAATAAAAGTATTCTCGGGTAGTCAAGCTGCGTTGGAAGCCCTTGGCTCCTACCGAGCAACATCTGAATTGGTAACAAATTGCTCCTCGATAGGAAGACTCAACAGATTCCCTCCGGTCTGGATTCCTAGCCAAACTGGTCTGGAAGGCAATGAGGTTGCTAAGAAGGGTGCTGCATGCAGCTTCATCGGACCAGAACCTTTCATATCGCTTATGGCTTTGCGAAACAAAGATTGAACACCTGGATGGTAAGAAGATTTATGGACTTCTGGCAGAATCTTCCAGAATTGGTTCACTCCAAGGCGTTTATTCATCCTTATTATTCACCCTTGATACCAAACAGTTTTTGGATTACAGTGAGGATGAACTACGATATCTTATATGCCTTCTTACAGGTCACCGTCATTTGAATCATCATATGCAGGTACTTGGACTGTCGGAAGACAGTATGTGTCGTCTGTTTGGAAAATGATAAAACAGCAGAGCACATACTTTATGCCTGCCCCGCTGGGGACTAAATCAGGTTTTCAAAGTTTGGCAGAGCCGGACTCTTACCATCTGACCTGAAAGACCACTTACCATACAAACTAATCGGTTCGTTAAGAAACTGGGTTTATTTGGTCGATTGTGAATAGGTGTGATCCACAATAAACCCATGCGGGCTGCGGTGGAGGGTCGAATAGTCCCACTCACTGTGGACTTAACCTAACCTAGAATTCATATTGGCAAATACAGGTATTTTGATATTCCTTACTGAATGAAAATGGTGACGTTCTTCCAACACTTCCGGTTATGCCAACAGTTAGTACCAACTTCCTTAGTTGAAATGTAACACTCTGTATATTTTCACATAATGTGAGATCATTCGAAGTAACCTATTCCAAAATGAACCTTTCTCGAAATATTCATTTGTTTGCTCAAAAAATCTAGGTATTCAGCTCTCGGGTGACTCCCCATAAAATTCAAAAGTATAATAGAATACATAAATAAGTTATGACTGATTCATCAGAATATATCATTTCATCCGTTTTGTAGGAGTAACATTTCTGATATGTTATACAATGTGTTCAAATCGATCATTTATTCTGAAGATACCCAAATAGGCCAAAACTCATTCTTTTCAAATAGAAAACCCTATATTTCAGAATAGTTTGGAGATTCCGAGATAATTTCTACTTATTTTCATGACACATTTTCTATATCAAAAGTCAACCGCTCAAGAGATACTTCAGTTTTTCTTGAAAAAATAAAACATGCTCAAGTCTACCATAAAACTATGGACTATGAAATTATAATTTCGAACAGTTATAGAGGAAGTTTATAAAAGGTATTAATTTACCGTCATGTTTTTTCTGAAGAGAGAGTTTCAGATGAAAAAATGATGAATTAAAAAATGTTAACTCTTAATGTTTCATAAGAGAAAGAAAATTAAAAAATTTAGCATTGTCTTTTCACACGAAATATAAAAACCGTTTCAAAATATGTTCCAAAACATTTTTGTTAACTTTTAGGCATTTGATAACTCTTATCATTCTCATCATTCATCAAATTGTTATTTACAGCACGACTGATTTCATCGGCATCTAGTTTATTGGATGAAATTTTCTATTCATCTTTTATGAGTAATTTATCGTTTAATACAATAGGAACGCTATGGAAACAAATGAAGGTAGTTGTCGATTTATTGATGTTGTCATTTGTATGAGTGTATTTTATGAATCAATGAGCAAACGGTCTTATTTAGATTATGAGAACGATTTTTTGTTTAATTCGATCATGATCTATCTATATTAAATATAATCGAATTATCGACCGGACACGCAGGTCATTTTCCGAAAGGTATCCGAAAAAACCCAAACCGAATCAAAATACAGTGAAAAGGCTGTTGTAATCAAACGAGAGCCTCATATGGATGATGAAGATCTGGAAATAGATGTTCTTGGATATTTTGCTGCTCATCTGAATGAGTCTTTGAAAGATTGTGAGTAAAACCTACCAGTTAAACCAGGAACGGCTCACTTCATTTTGAAAAAAGCATTAATGGATACCGTTCAAATATCATCCGATACATAATCTGAAAGACACGAATTTGCTGATAAAAAGTCATTTTTGAGCTGATGAAAATCCACATCTTACCCGTGACTGATATTTCCAAGTAAGTTGGAGTTTTAACATTTATTGTGATATAAAGCACACCTATTTGTACACCAATGATGAAATTTTGATTTGTCAAGGATACTGTAACATACCACAAAATATTGTGAGAGTTGCATTGAATAATTTATCAAGTGAAGATACGGTAAATATTTTTCACCAACAGTGTAGCACTACCTACTAACTGCTACAGTGACGACGCCATGAATCTGAAGATGTCAATATATCTCAGCCTCAAGAATAAATTCATCTTTTGTAGTAACCATCAGTAGATGCACAGTGAAAGAAATGTAATTTTCCTTCGTTTGGCTGATGACACTCAACTTTTTATCAGAGCATAACTCTTTTATTAACAAATTGCTGTCATAGGTACTCAAATCATGGAAAATTATCGGTAACATGTGATTCAAATTGTTGATGATTGACACAATGCGATTCAAATATTCACAATAGATAGTTCTAATTTCAGACTCCGGGACAGTACATTGGTGTATTGCAATTAATGGGCCGTACCTTTGGCCAACACGTTTTCCCGATCCGGGTTCTATGAACTATCATGTATGAGGATATATTGGAAATATTGTTTTTACAGATCCTGCAACAAGTGAGACGAATAGGGCTAGAAAAGTTTCACAAGCATTCAACGTCGATGAATGCTTGTGAATAATAACATTTGATGAAGAAAGGTATCAAGAGTCTGAAAGTTGATTGAAATATTTTCGAATATATTTTGAAATGGTTTTCATAATTAGTGTGAAAAAACAATGCAATATCTTTGAATTTTTACTCTTTCATAAACTATTTAGAATAAACATTTTTCAGTTCATTATACATCCATCTGAAATCCTGTATTAAAAAAAACAGGACGGCAAATTGAAAGCTCTATTAAAGTCTTAATTTACGTTTGAAATGAATATTTCATATTTTTCCGAAAAATTCTGAAATATCTCGTGATGGGTTCTATTATTTCCCAAAATGAAGCTATGCTTTTCGAAACATTTTGTGGAAATTTGATGAGAGTAGAGAATTGAAAAGAAGTATCTGACACTATGTTGAATCACAACGAAGATACGGATCTAGAATCTTGTTGAAATAAAAGTGTAATTGAAATTAGTCCCATTGAAAAATCATCGAACAAAAGATTGATCTTTCTCAATCCTTCATTGATAATTGAAGTAGTGATTAAATTTCTTGGAAAAAATCAGTGGAATTTCAGACATGGTGATACAGTTGTAGAAAAACCTCGACGTTTTCTATGACGTCATCTTAGAGATAACTTTTCAGTTAGTTGTATTTAATTTACGTCATTGCATGAATCCAAAATACCTACTGGTACACTCGAAGATAACTACTTCATAGATAGAGATTGAAAAAAAATTAAAACTTCTATTAACAGACAAGAAGAATTTCTACCAAAACAAGTTCAGCCCCTTCCAAATAGAAATGAAAAGCAAAATTAAACTAAGGTTTAATCGAGTTATAACTTTTCGAAGGTTCCTCTGTTTCTAGAAATACGTATCGGAACAAAAACTTTATCAAAACAGAATTTATTCTCTCCTTCACTAGGGATTTTGGGTATTTGACTCATGTGTGGTTCTACATACCTCAATATGGGGCGTAGTCCATTGAAGTGGTTTTTCACCTTGACAAAGTACAGAGTAATTCCTGTTCGCTTTTACGATATCTTCAGTCTTATTCAGGATAATTTGAGGTTTCTGCAAACTTGATACTGAAATGAAAAAATTTATTATACAGTTATGTTCAGAAAAGAATATTTTCATTGATATTTTTATGAAATGTTAAGTTAAGTACTTCCGGTCATCGGTTACAGGAAGATCATTACTTATGATTTTTCTCAAACAAGGAAACTGAAAAAAATGGTTTTATTATAAATTATTAATGAGATTTATTTCAAGTTCATAATCAAAAAAATCGTTCCATTCGGATCGTTTCGAAGCGTTGAAGCAATACAGATATGTTTTGGATTAATATTCGAACAGTATTCAAAAATGTGTAGCAAAAATAGATCAAAATACTACTGATGGGGAGGGTTCTCAGATGTTACCTTTCGACAAAACTGTTTAGAGTACAAACTATGGAAGAATAAGAATGCGTGGCTCAATAGATATATACACATATATTTCATTCATATTATTACACAGAAGTATTTATACATATACGTCTCATAAAGTAGTTACACAAAAAGTAAAAATGTATATATGTGAAATCTCACAGTTTATAATTTCCTAATTTTCATCAACATAATTTGTCAAACAATAGAATATAAATACCTAAATATGTATGTATGAATATTGTATTGGTAATTTTATCAATGTTGAACTCAACGATAAAAAGGCTCGCACCTTCGACCATTGAACTGACTCCCTCATATGTTAAAAATTTTCGAAACTCGTCTTCACTTTAGAATAATAATGCTATATTGGGGAATATAGAAAATTCAATAACAGAATTACGAAATGAATTTCTCAATAACTATATATTTACCGTCAGATTATGAGTGCAGATATCAATGTTTTCGACTTTTCCATCTTGAAACCTTCATATTCACGCATTGAATGGAAATAATTATATGAGAAACTGTCTGATATTTACGTTGTACTGATTTGATTTCATTATTTTCAATATTGAAGATATTCATCACAATTTTGACGAAATGAATGAGATGATATTCCATTAGCACATATTCCACAATCCACAATGTTGGATATTTTTTTCTACATCTTATCAGAAAAATACTGAAACAGCATAACATCAACAATGCTCATTCCGATCATAGTACTTAAAAAGGGGATCGACTAACTTACGTCAGTCTTCTGAATTACTTTTGCTCAAAGACCGGTCAGTTTCAGCCTATTTTTTTTTCTTTTTGGCTCTGTTTTGTAAACATAAAACATATTCCGAATATATTATTATTGTTTTCTATCGGATATGTACTGTATTTGAAGAAGGTAAGGGTATGTTATTTATTAATAATGATTGGATAACTTTCAGAAAATTAAGGACTGCCTCATTGAATTATTCATCAAAACATTCAACTATTTATACCGTCATGAAGTACTGATATTGTTTTGAATTAGTTTTATGTGTGTAGCAAGTTTTATTTTCGAATGATGGACATAGTAACTTTTCTCAGTGTGCGAAGCATGATTTCACTCAACATATTTCAAGGTTACCAAAATTTGCCCCTTCAACATTAAAGGTGCCGATTTTACTCTCGCTTCTGTGTAGGTAGTTCCGATATTTTGTGGCCCTAGGGAAGGCAATGCACACATGCCCTTTTCACTGATTCTACTCAGCTTCTATAATTTTTTTTTCTGCTCATCCACGTTCATTATGTCGAAACAAAGGTAAACATGGGAATCCGATGTTCCATTAACCAGGTAGGTACTAAGGATCACTTTTTAGAAATATAACAAATTTTATTCCTCAATTATGTCACATCTTCTGAAAGACATTAAAAAAAATCAGATAAGAAATAATGGAAATGTTTTGTTTTCTGTGAGTTTGTTATTGTATGTATAAACAAAAAATTATTAGATTTACCGTAAAATCATTCGCAACACCTGATGGAAGTGAAGCCATAAAAGTTATTATTGACGTTGATAAATAGTGACATCAAAATTATTTTTATGAGTATTTGTTCGATGTCATGAATATTTCAGTTTATAATATGATATATGAATCAAGTGACTCATTGTTTTCTCTGAGAATTTTGCGTGTTTCAATGATGTATAGCGATAAGACTCAGGTGAGATTTCGGAAAATTTGGAACGTATCATTCCGATAGTAAATAAAATGATTAGATTGAAAGAAATGTTTCATCAACTTGCATTTTGAGAACGTCTTCTTTCATTTTTTGTTGCATAACATCAATGATGTGAAATACTGAAAAAGTTTCGCTTCTAATCACCACACTTCTAATAAATAGTTAAAAACCTCATTTGGAATATTTCTGAAATTGGTAAATACAGAGTACGCATTTTCAACATATATTCAATCTACTTCTTCCTTCACATTATTCAAGAAACACTTCATGGTGAGTTTTTCACTAAAAAGTTTCACAAAAACACAACATGTGTTTCGACATACATTGACTTCATCAGGCGTGTTTTTGCGGAGTTGAACAAAATGTTTCCATTATTTTCTGTCTGTAATCATCATTTTATTCGGAATATTTGTTCAGTAGGCTCAATGTGTTCAACCTATTGATATAATCAGAATAATTGCCCAACTGAGAACTCGCAACAAATGTATAATGAAATTAAGTCTAAATGGCTATACCTATTATATAAATCCAAATAAAATATGTATCATCTTTAACTACAACTCTTTGGAAACTATTTTACTCATGATATTGGAATGGCCAATACGTGTATAAAACCTCTCAACTCTACATATTCAAGTAGTTCAGTCAATAAGATGAATCTTCAAACAAAAAAGCATATTTTGATTTGATTTGAATTAAAAATAATCTGAATCATACATACGTGTCGAAAACGACAGTAATGGAAATTTTGAGTATATTGAACAGCGGTTATATAATCATGCATATGATGAAATTGTATTGAAACAAAATAAGTTATTTAACCAGATCACGTCTCACATATTTGTATTATACAATTCCTTGAAATGCATTTAACAGATAAATACTGGAGCGTCATATTAATGCGGTTGGAAAAAATGTGTTTGATTCGATAAAACAGAATAATTACAAGTAATCAAGTTGCCTTGAAACTTTGTTGAAATTCTATTTGTTAAATATTCTCAAGTATTTCATAAAAATGTCATAAATTATTATAACTGTCTACTACTTTTCGAATATTTTTCGAAATGCCGTTTTTCCATCAAAAAATGTGATATGTGAATTACCTAATCCGCGTTTTTTTTGCTGTGCTTCATTGTTGATTCACGAACAATAAAAAGTTTTTGAGTAGAGGAGAACTAAAAAACGTTTTGTAATATCTGAGGATACAGAAATTTACGTTTTAGCCTGCTTTCAAGGTATATCCAAATAATTCCATCATCGTCCTTATTAACTTGGGCTAGTGCAAACACTCGAACCTGGTGATCACGAGAAACGATAGGGGTTTGTCGGTGGTTCATGAATAAATGCAGACAAGAAACTTTTATAGAAATATCATATGGAGCGATGAAGCTAATTTTTCAAGTTGTGGGATATACAGGGTGTCCCTGTTCAGCAGGATGGAGCACCAGCATATAATTTCAGTGGCGTAAAAAGAATTTCGCGAGACTGTTTTGAAAACACATAGATTGCTAAAAACGGTCGTTCACTAGACCTCTAGATTTTTATTTTTGGGGATTTCCGAAAAACGAGGTATGCAAAATGAAACATAATGATGTATACTAAGTGAAAAATTACATTGAAACTATAATTGATAGAATTGATGGCCGAATTCTGTTGAAAGCAATATGTAGTGTCAAAAGCTCAAATAAGTGTACAACAAGGAGGTGGTGTTTCTGAATATCTACTCGATACATTATAGCTTTTTTGTAGTAGTGAAAAAAAAGAAATATTTCCACATAAGTCGCTCATTTTCAACTTCAGGAAGAGCTTTGGTATGAGCTTTGTTGTTAGGAATGTTATTACGAATCTAAATGCATGATAAAACATAGGGTGTTCTATTTAAAAAATTACATTTTATGAAACATTTTGAAAATGCGACTGTCAATATTTTTGTTTCCGGCATCGAGAAGGCCATTGAAAACGCTACTAGTTTGTTCTTTTAACCGAATTCGTAGCATCAATAATAACGGCGTTGACAATGGTGCTCTATATTTTATCATGCATTTCGATTCGTAAAAACATTCTCAACAACAAAGCTCGTATCACCTCTCTTCCTAAAGTTGAAAATGAATGACTTATGTGGAAATATTCATTTATTTCACCAGTATAAAATAGTTCTTTGAGTTGGCAAATAAAACCTCATGACTGTCCAAACATCCAATTTTGGTACTTATACGAATGACAATATTTTGTTACTAACAGCAAAAAGAAAAAATTGCTTTTGGATTTGAACTCCTGAAATCTGTGTTCATCATATCGCATCAATCACTTGACACCACTGAGCTATTTGGTATTAATTAACAAAACGATAATTTCCTTCTTGAAGACATTCCACTATAATGATAACATTGAAGTCGTTTTTGTAGAGAAAGTCATATTAATGCGGTTGGAATAAANTTGCATTGCGCGGTTTACTCATTAACCATTTCCGTACTTTAGACTTGAATAGAGATACCGAGTTGAGTATTTTAAATGAGTATGGCAAAATATTACAAATTTGAATTAAAAGTTTTTATAATTCCTTTCATAATTCTAAAGTTCAATTCCTGGGAACTTGTAGTACGGATATGATAATGGGGACAGGATATTGTGGTATGCTACAGAAAAATCATTTTAATAATCTATTCATAAAGAGGTTATTCCCTGACTCTTGAAATAACAGTGTCGCTGAGATATACTTATTCATTTCATTGATAACGCGGTCATTGTGAACAAAAGTCTCCTTCTTTTCACCATGTCTGAAACTAATAGTTTCCTGAAATATTTTCTCAATCAAGAAAATAATCTATTTGTTCTACTGACTGATGATTCAAGAACCGCTTTCGAGTGCATTCACGATCTGAGAGATGACTTTATAAAAAACTTCTTGGCTTTCTACTGCTTGATCTTCATACTACTTTCGA